CTCTTGGGGGTTCTCCTGGAGTATGGGGTACCAGGCCCTTTGATATGGGCTGTTAGGTCCCCGTATGACCGGTGTCAGAGTCTGGTCCGCATTGCCGGCAGTAAGTCGGGCTCGTTTCCGGTGAGAGTTGGACTCCGCCAAGGCGGCCCTTTGTCACCGATTCTCTTCATTACTTTTATGAACATTAAAGTAATGAAATTTCAGGTGGGACAGTTAAAGTCCATCCAACTGGTCAATTGTTACAGATTCACAGAGTGTGAATGTAAGACTTGAACTATGAACATGATGCAATGTGGTCAGGAAAACAGCACTGAAGGAGAGCTACGCTAGCTTGACTGTGACAATCTTAACATGTAGATGTGTTTCCGTTCAGTAAAAAAAAAAAAAAAAAAAAGTGGCCACCCACACACCAACTTTCTGACAGATGATCAGAAGCGCAGAGGTTTAAATTACCTAATCAATCACTGCTACTATTCAGATAATCGCTTATTAATTATCACAATACAAACATAAAACTGTAACGGACTGAATGTTCTGTCCTTTAGTGGGAAACGTTTGTGTGTTTTTTGGTGTTGAATACAGACACGCTAGTGGAGCTGTTGTCAGTCAGTCGCTATGGCAACGGTTCTGTATATCCGGGACAGAGAGCGAGAAAAGAGACGATACCAGTGGTTTTGAGTTGTTCTTCGACAGTTATTCTGTTATTTTTCCCTTTGCGTGGTGCACTACACTGAATTAATAATACCTACATCTCCAGGTTTCATTTCGTTAACAGATTTGTTCTGCCACGGCAAGTAAAAGAATCGTCTAATTTTACTAATTATTGCATCGAAGCAGTGCTCTGTGGCTGCAGTTTTACACACAGTGATACTGTGAAATACTTTCCACAGAAACCAAACTCATGGCTAAATGTGAAGGTATAACTCCTGGGACAGATATCGGGTAAGTTTCTATTGTGCAGCCGAACAGTGGTGAGCTCATACTGCAGCAACAAAATATGGGCGAGCGAGAGAAGAGGAGCGAGGCATGGAGAGAGAGGACAACAAAGCAGGGATGAAGAAAGGTAGACAGGTGAGGGAGAAATTTTAGAATAAGACAAGGAACAGGAGGTAATACAAAAGGAAAACTGAAAACCAAAAAGAAAGTAGAAGAAGGTGTAGAGGAATAAATAAACTGAAGGTAAGAGCCACAAAGAGAATCAGGCACAGAGACCACACATCCAGCATTGAGTCAATTTGAGCTGCTCTCCCTCCTTCGTTTGATCCCTCCGTGTCCGTCTCCACAGTGATTAACGGCCCAGAGAGTTGTCACGGGAACAGGCGAGAGAGGGAATAACGAGAAGGAGGGTAAGGACGTCACCTGGACCGAGCCGAGCGCAGACGGAGGGAGAGGAAGCGAGAGAGCGAGGGGAAGACCCCAAACCACAGCAGCACATAATTAAAATGGCTCCTCACACACACGTTTCAACAAATCCAATAATGAACACCCTCGCCCACCCCCCACCTGGTCTCCGCGGAGACACACAGTTCACTGGTTCCTCAAACTTTTCAGTCTGACGCCGGCTGTCATTAAAGCAGCAATATATGGAATGAGTTCACGTTCGTTTGAGCTAAAAAAGGTTTTAATCTCACCTGCAGGACACAGCAGTTTGCAAAAGATGCTGAATGTATTAAAATACAAGAATGGAAAGTTAAACATTAATATTAGACATTTGATAAGAAATTAAAGTAAAAATGTAATTATTGTCTCAGTGAAACAGAATTTAGACAATGAAGCTTGAATAATAACGTTTCCTCCATTTGGATCATACTAAAATCGCTAAGCAATTACAATACACATATTTACCAATTTGTCTGTTTATTTTTTGAATATGTACAGAAAACATACAGCATGAAGCATAATGTCAAAACTTTTGTTTTTACATATTAAAGAGAGTGAGTGGAGGTATAAACTTATCAATATTTCCACTTTTGATTCATTTATCTTACATTTATGGCATGTATAATCACACATATAAAAACTAAACTCATAGTTAATAGTTAAACTATCAATTTGATTGATGAATAATCATTATTTCTTTAAATTTCACCAAAAACAAAACAAGTATCACTAACAAAAACACCAAAAATAACTGACTAATATTACATATTATATCCATCAGTACTCATGTGTTTATATAATAATTTGAACAGTTTCATGTTTGAACATCGTCAAATGTTTTTCTTGTAGTTCTGAATTTGCATATTTTAAAATTTGGAATTTGCTGCTTAACCTTACAATATTTTTGAATGTTTTCTTATTTTTGTCTTTGTAAAGATTTAGAGTCTGTAGTCTGTTGATTATTGTTTTTTTCTTCTTACCAATAAAAAAAGAACTTGAAATTTAAGTTTTAAGACGCTTTTCTGGTTAATTTAAGATTTAAGACGCTTTTCTGGTTATATTCTGCAGCTCAGAGACAAAAATCTCCAAGTTGGATAGGAAATCATTAAATGCTCTGATGCTAAAGTAGCATATGTCATTGTTGGAGAATATGAATTCACAATGGGCCCGTCTTTTATGATACCATTTGGTTGCTCGTTCCAACCTTGTGGAGCCAAAAATTAGAACAATCTGGACTCAAACTGCCCAGTACGCACACAACACACTGCCTGCAGTCATTTCACAACAACACCAGAAAAACATCTGACCACATCGTTAAAATTTAGCCAAAAATGACCTTCATAGGGTGTTGGAGAGCTCACATTAGCATGGTGGCGTGTTATTGTTCATCAGAGGTCAATAAGGACTGGTTACATGTCTTCATGCAAACACAGAACTGGCAACACTCCCAAGTAAATTATTGTGATTCTCTTGGCAACAAAGCTACTTTTGCACCAGATGAAAACAGAAGGATGTCAGAAAAATGTAAATCTCAATGCCAATATACCTTAATAAGGTCCAGTTGGGCACACATCTCCAAACTGTGCATAGAGTTAGTGGAGCTGGAATTCAAATGAAAAATGTAACTGGGGTGAATATTCAGATTCCTTTACATTTTCCACTTTTTGTTTCATAGCAGTCGTTTACCAAAATCAAAAAAGATCAGATTATTTCTCATGAATGTACTCTCAGCATCCCATCTTTACAGAAAGAAAACAGAAATTTAGAAATTTATTAAAAAAGAAAAACTGAAATATCACAAATGACTATGTATTGAATGGCAGGTAAATATCCCAGTTGTTGTGCCAGAATGTATTGATAAAACCCAGTAAACTGTTAAAATATAAATAAATAGCTGTTTGTTTCTTAAAATCTGAACATCTTCACACTGATCAGTCCATCCAGGATTTCATGACTGTTTTTGTGGTTTTTTTGCAGTCAAAATCAAAGATTTTGTGGCACTAATTTAGAAATATTTGTCAAGAATTCTTCTGATATTTGCTCTAATGTTTAGTGTTGAACATGACTTTTTATTCATCGCCGTATTGGATTGTATCTTGACATCAATATGAGGCAGCAGTCACTTAAACCCAAAATTTTGTAGTAAAAATCTGAAAATCTGTAGATTTTGTGTGAACTTTGAGTTTTGCAGATTTGTTGACAAATTAGAGGGATGTATTTATGTAATCTGGAGTCTAGAGGGCCACATAAAAAGCTACGATGGGCCACATTTGGCCCCCAGGCTTTGAGTTTGACACATTTTACTGTAAACCAACACAGAAAATGTTTCAAAACAGGAACTAAACCGCCTCATACAAAGAAATATAAATAGCAGAGTTCATTAGAAGAGATGAGAAAGTCAATCAAACATGCTTTGAATGATTAATGTGGTCTCTATGCCTCTGTAATCAATAAACCAGCCACTCAATATGGAAGCGTTTCAAAGACGAGCTATTGTTCTCTCTTTATCCAATCAGACTAGCAACTCTCCTGAACAAGCCAGGCATTCAAGTCAAATTGGGAGAGCCTGAGAGTGTGCGTTTCTCCATGCACAGGAACAGTCTGAGCGTCTTCCCCGCTGATTTCGCCACCTGTTCCAGACAATGTCAACCAGACTCATTTATCTCTCGGCAGGACTCGTTGCAGAAACACACACATGCACACACACACACACACACACGGCTGCACATCACATGCAATAATTACTGGGTAATTTCTGACAGACGATGGACAGACTTGCAGCTTTAAAATGCCAGGCAGAAGCTCCGTTTAGGCAACAACACTCAGTTGGTGATGCATACGGTACATGTTGTACTTAACAATGTGTTTGTTTATAATTAGAAAAATTAGAATACTGATTAAATTACATATTTATTATCTGTTGTCTAAGCTAGCGCTTCATATTTAGCTGAGTTTATGTGTTTTATTCACAATAGGTGGATGGGCAGTAATTAGTTCTAGCAGCTTTCCATTAATTCACTGACCGGACACAATGAATGAAGTTTACTGCCAAACTGAATTAATGTGTTTTCAGCCAAAACACAGAAATAAAGCTGGACATTAGCAAGGTAAAACACTAAACAAGGTAAAACACTAACATTTAATGTGGCTACCTTTTCATAATGCAAGTGCATAGCAAAAAGTTACAGTTGTGTCTGCATAATTACAGCTCTGGAAAAAATTAAGAAACCGCTTAAAATGATCAGTTTCTCAGATTTTACTCTTTATAGGTTTATGTTTTTGTAAAGTGAACATTGTTCTTTTATTCTATGAACTACTGATAACATGTCTCCGAAATTACAAGCAGAAATTTTGTATTTATTTGCAGAAAGTGAGAAAAAGATACAGTGCTTTCAGACCTGAAATAATGCAAATTTAACAGGTTAATATTCATTTAGAAACAACAAAACTAATGTTTAACTCAGGAAGAGTCCAGAAATCAGTATTTGGTGGAAAAACCAGGAGGTTTTTAATGGGGTTCAGAGCAGTGGGCTCTTCATTTTTTCCAAAGTTGTATATTTAACATACAAACATAACAAAAGTCCCTACTTTTTGTAAATCCATCCATTGTTTGTGTTCACCTGAAGGAAATGCAGAAGTAAAATTTCGGGAGGTGAGACCCAGACATCCTTGTCCCCCAGTGACAGTCTTCAGTTCCTCCTGGAGGATCCCAGGATGTTCCCGGGCCAGAAGGGATGCAACATTCACAACAAGTTCTGGGTCAGCCTTGGGGTTTCCTCCCTGTGGTGTAAAAAATGCAACACTAACCTGTCACTTTCTGCTTCCCTGAGGTATAATTATAACATGATACAAAGGTTCGTTTTCCTAAGCCACTTAAAAATGGTTTACTTTCACGCCAGCTGTTGTTCGGGACATAATGAAAATTTAAATTTGGAGTTTGGTAAACACCATAGAAACTAAACTGATGTGTTTTGGTCAGAAGAGTTTTCATTAAGGCTTTCTGTAGGTGGTGTGAAAAAGCCTGTTTCCCTTCCACAGACCTGAGGAATGATGTCAGAGTTTAAATCTCTTTGAAAAACTCTTACAAAGAACATAAGTTAGTCATTGTTCTTGTTATCATATTTATTTATTTATTTATTTATTAGAGCAGCGGTGTCAAACTCATTTTTGTTTTGGACCAAATCAAGATCCTGAATGCTCTTAAAGGGCCGGTTGTTCCAGAATATATTGATAAAACCTGATCACAAACTGCTAAAATATCAATAAATTCTTAAAATTAAATAATATTATTGAACATCTTTTCAGTCCCTTCAAGATTTTGTGATACTTTCTGTGATATATTAAAAAAAAAAAGCTTTTGTGGTCACACTTTGGAAAAATTTGCGCTTATTTATGACGGTAAATGCGACTTTTTATTACTCGCTGTGTAGATCATGGACTATAATCTGACATCAGTTAAGGCTGAGGCAGCTGTTTAGTACAAGAAAGTTTTTGACAATTTGAAAAAAATCTGCAATAAAGTCCCAATTGTGTTTTAGCGTAAAAAAGTGCAGGGATTTATTGATTTTTGCTTGAATTTCCACAATAATTCTCAAAAAACTGGAGGGACTGACTGATATAATGTGTCAGTAAACAAATAAAAACTGCATTGATTTAATTGAAAACTTAATATTTAAACACCTCTAGTGTTTAGTCCAGAATTTAGAGGGTCAGATAAACAGCTATGGCGGGCCGGATTTGACCCACGGGCCTCGAGTTTGACATACGTGCATTAGGCAGATATGATGGTTGTATAATATTCAAATCAACACAAACTTAAATCACAGATGTAAACCTTTAAAGTGAACCATATAATCATATCATCACAAATTACGCTTGATTTAACCAGCATATTATAAAATTTACCCTTTAAACACGCTACAGTAAATAAAACATCAGCATTAAAACCTACCTAAAGGAGAGATAGCATTGCGCTAACTAGCTACTAATGTATAAAACAATCCTTAAAACCGCTGGCACTTTTATTAGCTTATAGCTAGTTGCCCTAAACCCACGTGAAGAATAGAAAACACATCTTAATAACTCATAACATTTAACTCACCACATTGGGCAGAACTCTACGTCAGTATGAAGCAGTTTTAAGATTCATTTAACTAGCTTGCGTCAGCTTTCGATAACATAAACTACTCCCGGTTCGTCGTCAAGTTACTTCCGGTTTTACGTGCGGTCACTTGAACCGACACAAATAAACTGTAGAGCCCCCTAGTGGAATGAGAGGAGTGAATTCAACACCAAAAATGGAACGTCATTGGGTTTTTCAGCAGAGAAAAGGTCTAAAAATACTTCACTAATCACAAACTCAACCTTCTTCCATGGCCATCTTAAATGTAAGCTATTAAGAGGTGAGTTTTTGTTCTACATGTTGGTTTCAGCCAATTAGCTTTAAGCTGATGAAAGTGCTGGTGGTTTTACGGATTGTTTTGTACATTAAAGGCTAGTTAGCACAATGTTGTTTATTTAGTTTATTCCACAGTGGGGTTTAATGCCGACATTTTTATTTAATGTAGAGTGTTCAAGGGGTAAACTGTGCTGGTTAAATCAAGCACAATGATGATGATATGCTTGTGGTTTTATGGATTGTTTTGTACATTAGCAGCTAGTTAGCACAATGAAAGGCACAGTAGCTTCTTAATTAGCGCAAAGACACTGTTTAAACTTTATTCCTTTAAATGTGGAATGTAAGACTTAAAACAGTTAATTTACTAAAGTTTCTCTTTTCAGATCTGGAAACAATACAGCATGTTTCCAGATCTGTGATTACTTGTCCTCTGTAGTCTTATTGAAGTAATATAAAGTGGATTTTGAAATAATACAAACAATCTACTTCGGCTGCACACTTTAAATATTAATCAAAGGCTTTTATTCTACATTATTTTTTATAATTTTTGCTAGCATAACAAGAACATAGAGTTCTTGTTAAGATTGCCATAACAACACAGAGGTAATTACAAACAGTTTCCTTTACTGGGTAATATTTCTGTCATGACAGTGTGATACAAAGTTCCATTAACACTATTATGATTATGAGAAAATAATTATTAAGCACGAGATATTAAAAGTACAAAATTGAATTTTAAAGAGGCTCCTTTACTTCTTTATTACAGCAGACTTTATTAGGCTATCAAACCGTTTAGTACGTTGTTTATCAGCCTGTGCACAATTGCAGCTATTCAGATGCCTAGCATCAAAGAAATAAAAGCATAATCATCATTGCCCTGTTTCCCTGACTTATTTCAGCAAAATGGGCAAAAAAACAACGAAAGCATCCCCCCAAACTGACCTTGGTGGAAAAGCGCTGAAAGAAAAGGCTGACATGCAAACAGACACACACAAAAACAGCCAGGTTCCCTCTTCAGCCATCTGCCCAGCTGTGCAGCCAATGCCACTTCCATCTACCTATTCAACCTGCACAAAAAGAGTCCTGTAATGGGAGGCGAGGTACATACAAAAGAGAAGTGCGTGGCAAGCAAGAAATTGAATGTCAAGGAGCCTTGTTTGGTCCTGATGGGGGTTCGAGGGTAAGCCTTAAAGGGAGGGAAGAGGAATAAAACAGATACAGGGATGCCATGTGACAGACAGAGCCGAAAACTAATAACACACAAAGAGTGTGAGCAAAATGTTGGAGGGGGTTTACGGTTTGAGATGGACTCTTCTAGCCGCAGCTAATTTCTGGCGGAAAAATGACAAGGGCAGAAAGAGATGGAGAGATAAGAAAATGTGACTTTTCTAAAGAAAGGAGCAGGAATCCTTGTGGGTGTGAGGGCATCTGGTTTCCACAGCTGGCTCTATTTAATCAGAGGGATGCAGGTCTGGATGACTGACTGACATACTTCCATCTCTTCATTTTCACAGAGGAATGCTCGCAAAACATCACAGGAGGAAGGGACAGAAACTGGCATTCATGAAACGCTGATAAGCAGCACATAAAGCCGGGGAGAGATGCAGCTTCTGTGCACAGAGCAGAAAAAACAAGGAGACAGATGGAAGGACAAAGAAACAGAGGGCAGAAGACAGAAGTTCAGAGGAGAGAGAAAAGGGAATGTGAGAGAGGGAGAGTCCAACACCGCGTCCCGAGTTCTTGCCACAAAAAAAAAAAACAAGTGCTGAAGAGCGAATTGAAAGTGAAGCCAAAGAGCCTGGTCAATGTGTTTTGGTATAAATAGCCCAATTAGTATTGCAGAGACGTCGTTGGGTTCTGAGATGCAGCGTGGCAGAGCCGGTCTAATTACTGGCTAACTTGACCAATTATTCCAGTGTTTAACCAGGCAGAAAGCAAATCGCAGCACCTGGTTATTTAGAAACACCGGCTGCCCTGTCGGGCTTCACGCTCTCAGCTGTCATCTCCAGTCACTGTCAACATCTTCCTCCTCAAAACACACGAGTTCACACACCGCACCAGGCTCTGAAGGCGGTGTGGTAACATATTTTGGTGTAACTGATGTTGTAATTTTCTTATTTCAAAATAAATTTCCACATGCAATTACACCTTTTTTGCATTGCTATTGCATCACAAGCAGAGTTGGTAGTAATTACATTTACTTGAGTAACTTCTTTGAAAACATTTAGCTTTAAGACTAGTTTTACTTTTTACTTGAGTAATTTTATTAGGAAGTATTTCTACTCCTACTTGAGTAAAATTTCTGGATTTTCTACCCACTGAATGATGAACAAACATTTTACCAACAAATTCACCAGAAACTGATTTGGAAATGTTTTTCTTTTTCCTGATTTTGTAATTTTTTTATTTATATGAATTATTGTCATTTTGGTCCAAAATTTCCACTTAGCTTTATATTTTCATCCGTTTGATTATCTCATTATTAAATATTAAACAATTTATAATTTCATCACTTATTCCAGTAGACTTTTTACCAAATACCTTTTGCTGTTGAGTCATTTTTTGGACATCTACTTTTTACTTTTACTTCAGTAAAATCTCAGATAGCAGTCACTTAAATTTGATGTTTTTGGCCAATTTTAAAAAGAAATTGCAGTAAAAATCAGACAAAAATGTTGGAATCTGTTGATTTTGTGTGAATTTTGCAGATTTGTGAAAAACTGGAGGGACTTATTGATGTAATTTGGAGTCTAGAGTGCCACGTAAAAAGCTGTGGTGGGCCAGATTTGGCCCCCGGGCCTTAGGTTTGACACATGACACATTCCTCTTTCAAACTAATCCTCTATATTTTGATTTTTACTGCATCCTAGAAGTAGAGGTGGGCGGATTGAGCCTAAACATCGATACCAAGTTGGTATCAGTTCTGGGTCGGTACCTGCATGGAAAGATTGATGCTTTAGATTTCATTTTACATCTCACTTCAAAACAGATTTTGTGTTGATTTTCTCTCAAATTACTATTTTTTTGTGCATTTTTTGCTTGTTTGTTAAGTAAATTTATGTTAATTATGAGCTTTATTCAAATTCTCCTTTTCTTCTGATAGTGTGAACAAAATAATGTAAAGAAAAAAACTACAAAACACCCAAAGTTCAGAAGTTTGATGGAACATCAAACTTAAATGAAAAATATTATTGGCGATACTGGCTCTGTATTTACTTGGTATTAAGTCAATAACAGAAAACCTAATCTTTGGTTTTTGGCAGGTCTTGTTCAACACTTTGCCCACTACATTCACCGTCCTCCTTTTCTTCTAATTTTGGTTCATCAATGAAAATCTTATCATCTCCGGTTTTTCCCACATCCAGATTCCTCTAATCCTCATTATAAAAAGCTCTGCTCCGTGTTTGAAGAGGCTGACGTTTCTAAGAACTTTAATAACATCATAATGAACAAACCTATTGTTACACTCTGATTGTGATTTGCTGCCTGGAACATAAAAATATATTTACAACTTACAGCAACACAGCCGGCAGTGATGAAGATATGAAGGCGTTCGGCTAATCAATCCGCAGACTGAATAACCGACTGGGTTTTATTTATTACCCAGGAGTTTTCAACGCTGATAATCATAATGACAAAAACACTTTCTGTATACAACCCTAGGTAAAGAATAACAGTAATGAAGAATCATCGCCGTTGTATCATCACAATCATCATTTGTTTTGGTAATTAAGTTCCCAGGATAAGTACTTGCTAAAGCAGTTGCCTTGCAGTCAGCTCCTCAGACATCAAGATGGATCTGTCGTAAGCTCCCGCTAAAGCCTCCAGGCAACGCACAGTTAATATTGAGTTTTAGCAACCCGATGATTTATTCATAATACATCAATCTTTTTCTGCTTGTTTATCTGCTTGTTTATGGATTTACAGTGTTTCACCATGCGTGAAATAGTTTGAAAAGGGAGAGGGGAAAAAAATCTAATAAAATTCATTAAGTTATGAAACAGTTCTTGTTTTTTTGTTTTAACTTCCAAGTCTCATTTCCTCGGTTGCGTCCAGAGCATTGGCAAACGTCGCCGGTTCAGTCAGACACTTCAGACACTTGGAGGGAAGCATTCAAACACTCACCTCATCAAACGGCACACACTGATCTGACTCAGTGTGATTCTCTGCAGCAGCACGACTGGCACTGCAAATCACACGTCCTAATTTCCCATTAGTCTCATTTTACACGCAACATATCATTTTCCTTCAACAATCAGCACCTGTTTGATGGAGATATGCTTTTGCAACGTAGAGCCAATTATTTTGCTTAAATTCATTAACTTTCTTAGTCGTTTTTCAAAGTAATTATTAAAGTGACACAAACGGGGAGGAAAATAATCGGCGTCCAATTCCGCAAGCTGAGCCAGAAACTTTCAGAAACGGCTGCCAGCGTCGGTAAAGAGCGGCTGCCAGAATCCAGACACTTTATAATTGTTTCTAACCGGAGAAATAACGTCATGAATAATGATGCTCCAAACTCCAAGAGAAAAACAAAACTCAACTGTGCCGCAAAAGCGTTCAAACCCAACGTTTTGTAAAGAATTATGTAAAGTTGTGGCATCTTCAACCCCAGTTACGCTGTTACACTTAATAAAATCCAGTTACAGCTAATTAGTTAGCAACTAATTCTGGTAGGATAAAACAACAATGTAGCTTTTTGATCAGCATACAAAATGGTGGAACTCTACCACTACACTGCAAAAAATCTAAATCTTACCAAGTATTTTTCATCAAGATCTTAGTAGAAATATCTCAGAAAACTTGAAATATGACAAAACTGTCTTACATGTAGCTTTTTTAGCAAGAAAATGGAGATTGTTTTAAGTCAATAATTATTTAATATTAATGAAAAGGTATTTCACTTGTAACAAGACAATTTTCCAATGCAACAAGTGAAACAATCTGACAATGGAGTTTTTAAATCAATATTAAGGAATTATTGACTTTAAAACATCATGTTTTGCTCAAAAGTTATTTATAAAAGCAGTTTTGTCTTGTTTCTAGTTTTCAAAGATTTTCATTTTTTGCAGTATAACGGTAGTGTTCCATCATTTTATACGCTGACCAAAACGTTACATTTTCATTTTATCCTATTAGTGCTAATAAAGCATGTTGAAGAATAAGTTGCTAACTGATTAGCCGCATCAACCTGAATAACCGATTTCTATCATGAAACATGGTGGTGGCTGTATCATGCTGTGGGGGTCATAGGAAGAAAGTAGGAGGTTAAAGAAAATCTATTAAATGGTGAAAAAAAAATGTTAGACTTGGGTAAAGTTTCACCTTTACATGATGGAAACATTTTCAGGTTATGAATACTTTTTTTTTTAAGCCACAGCACACCTGACTGAAAATACAAAGGAAAAATCCTGACACAAACATACATTTCTCACTGCGCGTTGGACTCGATCATACCAGGAAATAATCAGGACAGACAGAACAGAGACTGTTCTCTGAATGCATTTTAAATTACACATTTGCAAGGTCAGGTCATTTGCAGTATCTGAGGAAAGGTTGAGAGCAGCTTCTCATCTGATGAAAAGTATCATTGAAATCATTTTATGATTCATTCGATTCAGAATATAAACTGCTGGACCACTCTGCACCTGCTGTAGCCCACAGCCACTGCTTCATGGTTTTAAATGTATTCCATTCTCTTCTAATTATAATAACACAGGGCTCCCAATGTTTAAATGAAATTGCTATTTGAATGTTCGTATTAGGCCGGCTTGTCTGCTTGGCTGCAGAGTGCAACATTAAGGCAACAATATTACTTAAATGAGCTGAAAGTAAGGCTGAACATATTTCAAAGTGCTCTACAAAAGTTTTAAATAATCGTTTAAAACTTTTTTATGTGTTGTTGATCAGCTTAAACTGAACTAATAAAGTGGAAACGTATTGTTTTTTGGGGGGCATTTAACATTGGTACACTGCAAAACATCTAAATCTTACCAAGTATTCACGTCAAGTTTCTAGTGGGAATATCTTAGAAAACATGAAATAAGACAAAATTAACTGAAGATATAGGAGTTTGTTTTAAGTCAATAAATCCTTATAATTGATGATAAAGTACGAGTTCCATTGGCACCGTTACCTAGCAACCCCAGCCAACCCCAGCCCGTTACCTAGCAACCCCAGCCAAGCCCAGCCCGTTACCTAGCAACTCAGTTTGAGTTCCACTGGCAGATTATTTCACTTATAACATGATGTTTTCCCCATGTAGCAAGTGAAATAATCTGCCAATGAAACGAGTGCTTTTTAATCAAAATTAAGAAATTATTGTCTTAAAACAAGCACCTATATCTTGCTGAACAGCTAGTTTTGTCTTATTACATGTTTATAAAATATTCCCAGTAGAAACTTTACAAAAACTACTTGGATTGATTTTTGTTTTTTTGCAGTGTGTTCTTCGTTAACACAACATTCATTTCCTGAGAGAAAATGAAAGAGCAGTCAAAGTCGAAACTATTTTTCAGACAGCCTACAGAACTACTTTTAAGTTCAATGGATAATATGAAATTCTGGCAACTTGGATTCAAAGTTAGAGGAAAAAACAAGTCAAATTTCTCCCCACAAAAAACATCCTGTAGCAACAACTGCAGCATACCAACATGTTGGAAGTCACCTAAATCTGGCAGCTTGAGGCATCTGGAAAAAGAAATGCTACTGAGCTCCATAGAGATAACCTCTGAAACATAAACAAACATGAACACAACTGCTGGCAATGATACACACTGATGTGTATCATTTCCATCGTATCTTTTACAAAACTCACTGCAGCAAAACGGCGGTTATGCAGCTCACTACATGTATAACAAGGGTTTTATTTTAAAATATTACAGATGTGAAGTTTGTCAAAATCTGTTTATTCTTTGAATGTATTTTGTTTAGTCAGGAAGTTGTTTCTCCAGACTTTTGTTGGTGTATTCAGTTTTGTTGCGCTGCTCTTGGCAGTTGGTGGTTACCATAGCAACCTGTAACTGACAGCTCCGCCCCCTTTTTTCCTGTTGCCATTTGTAGCTGTGTTAGAGCGAACAAACGCGTTCTCAGTTTGGGCCTCATCAAAAATCTGAATGTTCTTAAAGGGCCGGTAGTGACAGAATGT